CAGCTGGGTGTCATCGGAGGCACCCACGGCAATTCTTCAGCCTCCCCATGCCCAGCACCATCCCGGACCCAGAGCCCCCAAGGCCTTGCCCCCACGCTGGGAAGGCCCAGCAAGACCCACAGGGCAGACCCCGACCCCCTTCTAGGCCTCCTGCGGGAACGGGTGGGCCAGAGCAGGCCAGGCCTGCTCCCCTTCGGGGCTGCCAACCCCCCCACCCCCCAGATAGCCACAAAACAAAGCAGATGGTGGTGGGTTTGGCTGGGTAGGACTTTAATGTGCCCCTGCCCAGGGGTCCCGGGGGTGGGGAAGCATCGTGGGGCAGAGGGCAGACGTCCTGCCCCGCGGGATCTGCAAGGGGTACGCCAGTGGTTAGCGAGAGTTTGGGGCAGCCTTTTCCTGTGTCCTGGATCAGCAGTGCTGCGGAACCATCCCTGACGGGTGCTCAGATCCCAAAGGAGGCAGACGGAGAGACATCGGAGGGACCTGGAGCCCCACATTGCATGGGGAGGCGTGTTCCACACCCAGAAGAGATGCTCAGACCCTGAAGGATGCTACGGAAAAGATGTCAGAGGGACCTGGAGCCCCACAGAGCGTGGAGACGTGCTCCACACCTGGGAAGGATGCTCAGACCCTGGGGACACTGAGGAAGATACGTCAGAGAGACCAGGAGCCCTGAAGCACTTGAGCACAAGTTTGACAGGAGCTTCTGGGGTGCAGGGCACACTGCTGTGCCTGGCAGACCCCCATCCTAGAGCTTGAGTGCTGTGACCCGGGGGATGTGGAAGGGACAGGTCTCCTCTGACCCTGTAGAGCTGCAGAAGGAGAAAACATCAGCGGGTCAAGGAGGAGCCCACATCTCCCCTCCCTGCGTCCTCCCACCCCAGGCAGCCCGCCTGCCCACCCCATGCCCACCGCTTACATGAGCCGGTGGATAGGGCGGAAGTGTTTGGTGAGCCTGATGGCAAAGATGATGTTAGGGATGAGGAAGAAGGTGCAGCATCCAAGGCTGAACCAGAAAGCGTTCTGCAAGGAGAGAGCACAGGGGTTGCTGCTGAGCCGTGCAGCCAGAGACAGTCCCCAGGCTCTGGAGGTGTTTGGGGAGCCTTGCAGTGCCTGGTCCCGGTGGTGTGGGGGTTTCAGGGCCCCCATGGAGGGATGGGGACAGGATCCTTACCCAGGGGTCAGTGATGCGGTCACACAGGATCACCCGCCCATTGTCCAGGGCCGTGGCAAGCGGTTGGCATGAAGCCACATCCTCCCTCAGCTGGAACAAGAAGTGGAGACAAGGCATAAACCCACTCCTGGCTCAGGGGATGCATTTTGCTGCCTCGGCTTGGCAAGGGGCTTGCACACAGCATCCACAAGCGCTCCCGGTCCCAGAGAATCCCTCTGCGGCAAAGGGGAGCACTTACCGTCTGCCCGACCCAGTTCAGGTACTGTGTGAAGTACCGCAGCTCCTTCCTGGTGAAGCAGCCGATCTCCTGGGCAGAGGAAAGGTGGCATGGGGGGCAGGCCCTGTGCACCAGCCCCCTCCAACCAGCTCTGGGCTAATGTTGGGCTTGGAAATGGGGACTGGAGGCTTCAGGCTCTCCCTCTTGCAGTGCCTATCTTTAGTTCTGGCTGTGGGGAATTTGGTACCCCCTCAGGGCTGATCCAGCCCCAGCTCACCTGCCGGAGGATGTGCTGGGCTTGTACAGGCAGCCGGGCTTCCACGGAGGCTGTGGTGGCCAGCGTTGTCTTCACTCGCTCCTAGGGAAGCACGGGAAGGACAGAGCATCCTCAGAGCACGCAGCAGCAGGAAGGATGCCCCGGGGATGCCGAGAGCAGGGCGCGCAGTGCTATGCACGTGTCAGCTTTGAACTGGGTCTGGTTGCCGTAGGGCAGGGGAAGAGGGACCTGCCCTGGGCAAGAAACCCCCTTGCAGGAAGCAGGTGAGGTGAAACACCATGGGACAGCTCTGCCGGGGGGGCTGAAACACCCTTAGTGCTGCAGGGGGATTTCTGATTTGCAGCAGCAGATCTAAGCCCTAAAGGAGACTGATCCTCCCTGGATGGCATTTTTCTGGCTTTCCCATCACCCTGTAACTGATTTTTTGGGGCACTGGCAGGCGGGATCCATAGGGCACCACATATTTTTCCGAGTTGAAAGAAACCATGCAAGTACCTGGAGGTGTGGTGCCAAGCGGGAGAGGAACTGGATGCTTTCCCCCAGCTTTGCCTGGAGGACAGAGAGGTGAGAAAGGGTACAAAAAAGCCCCATCACTCCTTTCACAGGGGCACCACTGGGCAAACCTTGGCAGCACCGTGAGCCACCAGCTCATCACGGACTCACCACCAAAGCTTCCTGCGAGTGCACTGTGGAATTTTGCATCTGCCACAGCCCCTGGGCCTCAGCAGCCAGCCGCCCTGCCACCGTGCCATTCCTCTGTGGGGGAACAGCAGGGTGAGGACATCCCTGTGGGCACACAGGCAGCCCCCGCCGCCCACCCTGCCGCTCACCTGCATTTTCTGCAGCGCCTCGAGGCTCCTTGCCAAGCCAGGGAGGCTGGTCTTCACCACGGGAATTTTCATCTGGGGGAAGAGGGGGTTGGTGGCTGCCTGAGATCCAACCCTGGAAGCTGGCACTGGCATGGCTGGGACACATCCTGCCCACCGCGCTGGGGACCAGCTCCCTGCGAGCATCCCCTCACCTCCTCCTGGAAGCGTGCGTAGTCCACCTCGTCCATGCCGCTGCGAGCGAAGGTCTCCAGGTCCTGCCTGCCCTCGCTGCGGAGGAGCCGCACGTCGCCCAGGCGCGCCGTGAAGTCGCCCAGACGTTTTTGGAAATCGGCCGTGTACTGCAGGGGCGAGACGAGGGGGATGCTGCAGGGCTGGGGCCAGGCATCTCCATCCCAGTAACCACCGTAAAGCTTGTGCATCCTCACACCATTTCCAGAAGCTCTGGCTGCAGCCAGCCCTCACCTTGGGGGTTTTTAGATGCTCATCCAGGTCATAAGAGCTCTCGAGCTGCAGCACCTCCCACAGCCCTGCACCGCTCTTGCACTCCCTGGAAGGCAAAGGGACGTTGGCAGTGTGACCCCGAATTAGCCCTCCGATGCAGAGGGGCAGAGGTGGGCTCCCGCAGCACCCACCGGTACACAGCACTGAGGTTAGAGTCCCTCCTGAGGTTGAGCTGGCGGGTGAGATTCATGGATGGAGGCAGGTTCCCAGGGGTGTCGATGAACTGGGCCAAACGGGAGGAAACAGAGAGTCAGTCACAGGCAGCCCCAGCAATGATTTTGGGGGTGCTCTGCCCTCACAGATGTGTCCCCATCCCAGCCAGAGCTAATTTCGCCTTTATTTGTTTATTCCCCATTTCAGAGCCTTCCCAGGTGGTGTTCAGAGGGAAAGCAGCGGACAGCCCCATACAGGGACCTGCCTGCGTGTGCACAGCCACGGGATGAGCCCTGATCCCATTCCCTACCCTGCTCCCAGCTCCATCACAGCATGCCACCAGCCCAAGGACCCCAGGGATCCCTGGGCGACCAGAGGTCAGGGGTCCTGCAGGTAGGAGCATCGTCACCTCCAGCAAATCAGCGGCACAAGGGTAATTCCCTGCTGCTGATGCAAATCCAAGGACCTAATCCTTATCCTACACTTAACCTTCTGGTTTAGGATGAGTCATTTCTGGACAGGTTTAGGGGGAGGACACAGAGTGTTCGGAGGCATTTTGGTGCACACAAGAGGAGACTCGTGGGGTGATGGGTGAATGCGTGGTCGCCCACCTTATAAATCTCCTGGTTGACCCAATTCCTGCAAACCAGCGTTTGAATGTTGCCCCCAACCAGGAAGGTGGCGAAAACCAGGAGGATGAGGAGCCAGGAGAACAGGAAAGCCAGGCCCACGCCACTGAAAGAGGGAGAGGAGTTGCCGACGGCAGCTTTGCAGATCCGAGTGGGCAGAAAGGCTTGTGGGGACCTGCCCGCCTGGCTGCAGCCCCGCGGCTCCCTCCTGCGCCCGGGCATGCCGGCCTGCCTGGGAAGGGCCCGCGGGAGCGGGGAGTGCCGGGCAGCAGGGCTGGAGCACAGGAGC